TAACAACTGAAGTCTTGTAGAACGCAGATAAAGAAGCCCCCCTCTAAGGGGCAGAAGGATACTTACAATGATTTACGAGAACTACCAGGCATATTATTGTTATATACCTATACATGTGAATAGAAGACCCTCATGATCTATGTCAGGGGTAGGCAACCTATGGCACGTGTGCCAAAGGCAGCACGTGAGCTGATTTTCAGTGGCACTCACATTGCCCGGGTCCTGGACACTGGTCCAGGGGGCTCTGCATTTTAATTTAATTTTAAATGAAGCTTCTTAAACATTTTAAAACCCTTATTTACTTTACATACAACAATAGTTTAGTTCTATATGATAGACTTATAGCAAGAGACCTTCTAAAAACGTTAAAATGTATTACTGGCACGCGAAACCTTAAATTAGAGTGAGTAAATGAAGACTCGGCACACCACTTCTGAAAGATTGCTGACCCCTGATCTATGTACAAGGAACAGCTGAATAGACTAGGTCTTCACATAACAGTACTGTAACCAGAATGCTTAGTGGAAAATGCAAATTCTTTGGTGAGCTCTGTGAACGGGACATTTTAAAAAATATATTAATAGCACTTCTTCCAGGAACTGACCTAAGACTCTCCAAGATGCTGTCAGGATTCAGTCAGTTAAGTATACTGCGTGCAACACTGAATCCCCATTAACTAAAAAAAAAAAAGGAATCGCTAGTTCTTGTGATTTTATTGGGAGTCTTAAAGCCCCAGCTTCTGGAGTCCTGTTACTACCTGAAAATCTCAGCTTTATTTTTGTGGTTGCAGATGAAAGCTTGAAAATAAACCCTAAAACATTCAAACAGCAGAAGGCAAATGAGAAGGACTCCCAATTTACAAAGAACAAAAACCAAAACCCTTATGGTTTGGAAGCCAATAATATGATTGTGGTGGGGCTGACTCATGTTTTTTGAATGTTTGGGGTTAACATGTCTGGAATTGTCTGGTTTCCAGGCCAGCTTTTCTTTTTGTGATTCACCTGACACACAATTAACAATTTCTTTGGACAATTAATTTTCTTCCCTTTCCTTCTGGAATCATCCTGGCCGCATCAGGATAATCATAAAGGAACAGATTCTGTTACGTAAGAAAACTGTGAGAAGGGAGTAATAGGAAGCTGTAATTTAGCTAATCTGGAAAGAAGCAAGTGCCTGCTGAAAAAAGGAGTCCCTCCAAAAGGTTTTAAGTTTCACAGAGATGATGGACATAAGAGTGAGTTGACAGTGTTGTTTCTTCTTATGTTAAATGTTAAACATATTAATGGCACAGATGGAAAATATGCAGATAACAATGAGATAGGAAAGCTCCAACAGAAAGCAGAGGGAAGCCTTGATATGGGGTAGCTGTGCCTTACAAAGGACAAGCCTTTGCACAAAAACAGGAGGACGTATTAAACAGAGAATCAATATTATATTTCAGACAAGTTCCACTTTACCCAATGTTACAATGGAAACCCTCTACAGATTTATAACCTTAAACATTAGAGGGATTAGTGGTCAAGGTCTTCAAAAGTGGTTTTGGGTGCCCAACTTGAGACACCTTAACAGGTCCTGATTTTCAAAGGATGGCTGCTCAGCTTTTTCTGAAAATCCAGCATCTCAAATTGGGCACCCAAAATCAACTGAAAATCTTGGCCAATAATCTGATTAAGTGTAGTGAATTTTTTTCAGTTTTTGAAGACTAAAAAGGAGATTTTTTTTCATGCTCCTTTGATGCAGCACAACAGCCAAGCAGAGGGTTTTTCCTCTCATAAAAATAAAAGTGTGGTGTGCACTGCATGTGGGAAAAGAACTGAAAATGATGAAGGGTGTTTTCTAGTGGGAAATGGAAACCAAAATGGGAATGCTGACATTTCCATTATAAATGTGAAGGCTTCTAAAATAATAGAAACTCTCATAAAGCAGCCCTTCATTTCTAGGGGTAGAGTAATCTTTGGAGAAGATTTAAATACAGTGATAAATATGAGAAAAGATGGACACCAGTCTTAATAACAAAGCCACTTCCATATTAAACAAACTTAAAACAGCCAGTGGGTTAATTGACAAAGAGAGATGGTATCACTCAGAATTAGACTATTCATATCATTCCCTTAGGGCTGGTCCACACTAAGCCCCCAGTTCGAACTAAGATACGCAACTTCAGCTACATGAATAACATAGCTGAAGTCGAAGTATCTTAGTTCGAACTTAAAGGTACTTACCGCAGGTCCACAGGCGGCAGATAGGCTCCCCTGTCGACGCCGCCTACTCCTCTCACAGAGCAGGATTACTGGCGTCGACGGCGAGCACTTCCGGGATCGATTCATCGCGTCTAGACAAGACGCGATAAATCGATCCCAGAAGATCGATTGCTTGCCGCCGAACCAGCGGGTAAGTATAGACGTACCCTTAGATACAAATCTTACTCCAGGCTTGATATCTTATTTTATGGAACAAAATAGTAACTGAGTTTGGTTTGAACTGTGCAATGGGACATATAGCACTGTCTAATCAAAGTCTTGTTAAGATACACCTACTACTAAATCCAGATAAAAATAAAAGACAATTACGGTCAGCAAAGAGACTTTCGCTGCACATCTCTGAAGTAATCATCAAGATCAAGAATGCCATAAAGGACTACATTCAACAAGGAAACTCAGGGTATCAAATTTAATGCTCTCTGGGACACAAAGCACAAGCTCTGAAGCCTCTGATTATTGTGCTTTGATAAGAACAACAAAACTGATTGAAAGCTAGCCTGGAAACTGCATAAGCAAAAGTTTAAATAATCCTATCAGAAATTAAAGCCAGTAGAGGGAAAATAGCCAAAACTACCAAGAAAAGTACAAAAGAATTAACAGAAAACTCCATATAGCTCTGAGAAAGAAAGGTAACAATAACTTAATTAGAAAGCAATTGTAAAGCATAAAATTATCACAGCTAACTAAGCAAAAAAATGATGGTTTAAAACAGTCATATATAAAGCATAGAACAAATCATCCTCCAGTTTAGCAATAATAAATCCCAGACTGCAAGCCAACTGACTGTACACTCTTAAAAAGAAGGGTAGTCTTGTGGTAAATCCCTGGATTAAGAGTCAGGGGAATTTGGTTAATTTCCAATCCCTGGTATAGACTGCATGCATGAGTCACTTAGGTGCCTAACTGCCACTTTAAGTGGCAAAGTCCCATGTTTAGGCACCACTGAAATCCTCAGACCCCGTCTCAGCTGCCATCTAGCCCTGTAGGAACCTAAATTTCCACTCTCAAAGTCCCATAAGTGCCTAAGTTTCTGCCTGGATTGCCTTGCATCTGTTCTTATATTTAACTACATTGCTGCCTTTACAAATGTGCATGTCTTAAAAAAGAACTAAAAAACAAAACAAACAATATGATTTGCCCTTTCGTCCTAAATTACCATGGAGCATACCATGTGGGCATAGAGCACCCAGACAGGAGCAGCACCAGGGTTTTTGCTGCCCTAGGTGGCAGTGCTCCTCCTCTGAGCATTTGGCGGCAGAGGTCCTTCCACTCCGCATCTATGGGGCACTTCAGCGGTGGGTCCCGGAGCGAGTGAAAGACCCGCCACCGAATTTCCACCAAAGACCCGGAGCGGAAGGACCCCCGCCACCGAATTTCCGCCGAGGATGGCAAAATGCCACCCCCCAAATCCTGCTGCCCTAGGCAACCGCCTAGGGTCGCCTAGTGGAAGCACCGTCCCTGCACCTGGAGCCCTTGGGAGAGTCACAGACTGGTACTTGTACATAATTTGCCTTTTATGGCACCAGGAATGTTGGGTACCCCAATGCTAGTTTGAGCAGATTGGGACTTGTATTCAAAATGCAGCCCTTTGCATTCATTGTACAGATGATGTCTACTTAAAAAAAAATGGAAAAACAAGATCCCTATGCATCTCCACCGACCCGCTTGGACTGTGCCTAAATTCTAATTATTTAGAATGAAAGAAGCTAGACAGCTATTCAGAGGCAAGCAATTTTTGGAAGGTAACAGACATGCTAGAGTTTACCAACAAAGCAGATCCCACTTTCAAATATCTAACTTGGCAACTCATAAATAGAGATAGAACCAGTAAGGTTCTAGACCTGCAGAGCTCAATTCACCCGTATAAAGCGACTCCTGTGTTTAACTGTTTGCAAGCTACCCCTGCAGAAACAGCAAGCAGAACTAGCCTCTCACAGCCAGAAGGGACATACTTCTTAACGTCATACTGCATGAGGGAGTGGGAAAATAGAAAAGCGGGAACGAGATCTCTGGATTAATTTCTCAGAAGCAGACAAAATTGTAGTTGAGGACTATGATCAAACATGCTTCATTTCATGTTCTCTCTGTGAAACACATTGTGTCACATTGGTAGTGCCACCTCACTAAATAAGGAACTTGCTATTAAACCAACCAGTGCTAGAAAAACTGTGAAACTTAAGGCACCCAGGCCTATGCATGGGCAAATGTCGAAGATGAGGGTGAGGGGAGAAAGTCCAAACCCTGGCAAAGACAATAGCTCATGGATATTCTGCTGTCCCCCAGAACTGCTTTATTTTCAACAATTTTTTTGTTGAATTTGTGGAATTTTTCAACAAATCCCCTTCCTTATGCAGCATATTACATGCTCTCCCCATCTCGTGGCATCTGTGAGAAACAGAAATTATCTACAAAGTGGCATTATCTACAATGCCCATGCAAACAGAATTTGGGATTTCATGACTATGGATAAACCATCCAAAAAAAAAGTTGCACTGCTGAACATACCAAATAGTGGCTAGGAGATCACACACACACATACCCAGCCACCCAGCCCTGTTCATGTTTTTTTAAATTGGGGGGGGTCAGGAAAAAAGGAAACCAAAATTGTTGCTCAGCTTCAATTCCTACAAGCAGTGTTATTTAAATGGATCATATGATGAAAAGGAACATGAAAAGCTATATAGAAAACCATGATTCAGGCAACTTCCCATCTGTTTAGTTCAGATAATTTTAGTTTACTTTTTTGAGAACTTGGATGTGCATAATTAAATGTAACGTTGGCTTTAAAAAAAATTAAGAAACCCTCATTTGCATGTTAAGCTGTCCTCATTTCCCAATTCTGTATAAAGTTATGAAAGCTAATCTGTAATGTATTGGATGATATGCAAATTCTTTGTACTCTGTGTGGATTTTATAAAGACATGCAAATTAAGAGAGTGTTTGGAATGGGTGGAAAAATAATTTCTCAATAATTATATGCAGGGATGGCAGAAAAGGTGTTTATAACCTTTTCTCTGTTGTGGTCGTTTATTCTTGACTGCACACTATTTTTCAGAGTGGAAAAATATGTTGCATAAATTGGATTTTTCTTTGTAAATGTAACTTCAGTTTAGAGCGCTCTACTCTGAGCTATAACCCATTAGGGAGTTTGTACTGGGCCTGGCCACAGGTGGATAAAGGCATTCAGCTTTTAGTGTCATGCCATGCATTAGCCTAACAAATGAATAGCTTGTTGTGGTTTATTCTACATTGTGTCTCAAGTCCATGTGACAATATAAGTACCTGATCTGAAGATGCAAATACATAATCATTGCAGGAGGGCTGGCTAGGAGGAGACCTGACTCATTCAAACTATGCAAAAACCATTTATGCAGGGCAGGAATTCATAGCCCTTTGAATATGCTACATACGTAGCCATCCTTCCTAGGACATAGGTTATTTGCACTGTTTGTCAGTGGCTTCTGCTTCCTTGTTCTCTCTGGATTCATGAGCAAGATCACATGACATTGTGAAATGCTACACATACAGTGCGGCAAAAAGGTAGCACTGATATGTCTGACTTTTTAATTCCAGCAGATGCTGGTTGAGGGGGCTCCATAATTGCTCTGCCAAGGCTGAGATAGCAAACATGTCATCCCTCTTGGGGCTCGTCACTGCAATGCAGCACTTGTCTCCAGCAGAGAAAATATAAGCTTCCTGGATTGATAGTTAATTAGATTACAGTGACTGCTAAAGAGGAATTTTTACAAAGAAAATATCAGAAAACGTCAAGACTAGTGATGTGAGGGTACCATCAGCACGGCAGAAGCTGTGCTGTCTCTGCCTGGCCAGCTAGAGAAGTTCATAGGAAGACATACTGCCCCAGATACACTGTTATTAAGGGTAGTTCAGTGCATCAACTGAGGGCAATATGTGATTGGGCTAACATGACATTTTGCTTGTCTATCTGGGAATTTGCACAGCCTCATGGCACATAATGCTACTATGATTTTTTATTTTTAAATTGCTTCATGTTAGTTTTTAGCATCCACACCAACCTGGTGAAGTGCAGTAGCTGGGCATGCAGATTACAGCTTTGGGGGTGCTTGTGTCCTGTAAGTTTTGAAGCATGTTTATTTTTCTCCTTTTTAAAAAAAAACCTATTTCAATCTAGATTTGTAAGCACTTGACAGAGTATATTTTGATGGGACATATATTTATTTAGATCAGTGGTTCTCAAAGCCGGTCCGCTGCTTGTTCAGGGAAAGCCCCTGGTGGGCCAGGCCAGTTTGTTTGCCTGCCGTGTCCGCAGGTTCGGCCTGGAGCGGTGAACTGCAGCAAGTGGGAGCCGCGATCAGTCGAACCTGTGGACGCGGCAGGCAAACAAACCGGCCTGGCCCGCCAGGGGCTTTTCCTGAACAAGCGGCAGACCGGCTTTGAGAACCACTGATTTAGATGAATCTGAACCATGGGGGGAGAGAGGAGGGAGTCGCATGTTGGGATGAACAGCTCAATCACGCTACTTAGGCACAGGCCAGAGTAAGGGCCAGTGTGGAGCTGCATTGCTCCCGAGGGAGTAGGGTGACCAGACAGCAAGTGTGAAAAATCGGGACGGGGGTGGAGGGGTAATAGGGGCCTATATAAGAAAAAAGCCCCCAAATCAGGACTGTCCCTATAAAATCAGGACATCTGGTCACCCTACGAGGGAGCATCCAGAGGTATTCTGCCTCAGGGAAAACAGTTTCTGCTACACCTTTCTTGCAGTCCTGCTCCTGGAGGTAGTGTGGGCCATGGCCCACCTCCTCTTCCCCAGCTCTCTCCCCATTCAGAGTACACTCCAACCCTGAGGGAGTGGGGAGGGAACAATCCTCCCTACTTTTGCCCTTTCTCCTCCCACCGTGCCCTTGCTTAAGGCCCAGGCAGGATCTAAGCCTAAATCATTTAGAATGGTTCTATCTTTTAGACAGCCATTGAACATATAGATCCAGATCCCCACAGCAAATTAAGGGCCCCATCCTATTTTTCAGGGCAACTAGTAAGAAAGACACTCTTGCAAGTTCTGGTATCAGAGATGGATGGAGCACATTTCTGTACCAGCAAGAGCTAACCAAGCGCTGGGCCCGATCCTGTGAGATTCTGAGGGCCCTCTAATTTCAGCAAGAGTTGAGGGTACTAGCTGCGCTGCACATTAAGAACAGATACGGACACTTTTTTAAGAACTTCCTGATATTTTGTTCCACTTGTTCTAATGCTGCCTTCTTTGCACTTGGTCACCCTCTCTTTAGTAGGGAAAGCCAGACTTTGTCTCAGCAGCTAGAGGTTGTACTGGTTTAATTAAAGGCATATTTTAAAAATTGATTTAGCTGATTAACCCTTAAGCTAAAATCCAGATAAGCCACATTTAAATCAAGTTAAGGATGTCCACACAGGGGTTTGCACCAGTTTAACGAAACTGATTTTTATTAACGACTGCAGCTTTTATCAAAGACAAGGTCTTACTCTGACTTAACCATCAGATCGGCTACCTCAGTTCTACGGTGGGACTTTGTTTAGTGCTAAAGCAGCTCAATGCAGCCTTCGACTTTGAAGCACTCTATCTTCTCTCCCCCATGTCAGCGGGCACAGGCCTCCACTGTCATCTGGCTCAGGCAAAACTCAGTAGCCAATGGGACTTTTTCCTGCCTCAGGCTGCAATGTACCTTGTCTCTGCCTCACACCAAGGGCACAGACAGTCTTACTCTGAAACAGAAGCATCCATGTGGGGGGCAGCAGGGGGAAAATGTCCTATAGTTACTTAACCAGTTCCTCTTCTTGGATGTAACCTTTTGGGCTAGCACCCAGAAGAGTGTCTAGTTTCCTGAGGACCAGGAGAAGCTAAGAGGATGTGTGGAGGCACAAGGCCTCCAGAAAGATTGTCCGGGCCTTCAGTGGATCCCCTGAAACCGACCATAGGTCTCAGAAGATCTGTGGGCTCTTTGGCTTGAACTATCTGCCGGTTCTGATGGCCGTGAACCTCAATCCCTCTCCCATCACCCCAAGACACACATGTAATAGCTGGCCCAAGAGCATGATGTACAAACTCAAGTCTCCAATAACCTTACGCAGGAAAGATCTGCATCACCAGTGGTATCTGGTGCCGACGCAAAATCAAGAGGCTGGGCACTCCTCCATCCTGCACAGCCAACCACAACTTGCACCAGGCAGAGATCTTTCCAGGCACCTCCACCCATCCCCCCGCTCACAAACCATCAGCTTTGCTGAGCTGCAGAGTTTCTCCCACCAGGCAGCAGAACCCCAACTTCTTAGCAGGCCCACCCACTGCCTCTGTTTGACACCGCTGGCTCACAATCAGACTCCTTGTACAGCTGCAGAGGAGGGGATGGAGCTCTGTACTTAGGCTGTTTAGGTCCCTTTTTGTTCCCAGACAAGACAGCCTGAGACCATGTTCTGGTCATTCAGTAGAGGGAGCAGCTTTTAGGGGCTGAAAAAAAACTAGCCTGTTCCCTCCCCCAGCAGCAGTCCATGCAGCTAAACTTTGCCAGTTTTTCCCTTTGTGGACTGTATTCTAAGAAACAAAGTGCTAGGCCCAGCCCAGTCCTTTTCTCTCTGGGGCCTGCCCAAGGAAAAGAGGTCTAGACTAGTTAGCAAAACAAATCCCTCATCAGTAGCCACCATCAATTATAGTGGGCAATGTGGCCCACTGTTTCCATGCCTGACAACTCATTCTATAACATGGTATTATCTATTGTTATTTTATGTAAATATTGAGGTATTTTATGTAAATATTGCCTTTTAAGTATATTGAAAGGATCCTGAACTACAATATTCAAAACATAGTGAGTTGAGGTCAAGAACATTCAATTGCTTTGTTTTGTATGTAGGAAGGGAAAGGTTCCATTTTTTTTGTTTACTGAAAAGTGTCGTGGTGAAACTGAAAATATTCCACCAACTGGGGGAATTTTCTGAAGTTGTCACAGAGACGGTGCCATGAACTCTAGCAAAATTCCCCCCCCCCCTCTGTTGCTGTGACATACAAGCTTCAGTTTTGCTTGCCACCCCACCCCACCCACTCCCTTTTTGAACATGGAGATCTTGATGTTGCAAGCTGCTCTTTGCTTGTGAAAAGCCTAGCCAAGCTACACAGACTAAAAGAGCATTCCCAACTTCATGCCAAGCAGGAGAACAGGCAAACAGAGGGTTTCACACTGTGTTACATGTGGAATTTTTCCTATAGCCTTATTTCATTGTACCTAATTTCTGTACAGGTGGTCTTGATTATTCACTGGTGTTAATTTGTTCAGGACATGAAAAGCCCCGCTTACCTATACTAGCTTACTCTCTGTTAGTGCAATAAGATATCTTGTAAGTTCAAATTTCTCAGTCTACTTGTGAAGCTACTGTGAGCTGTCTAATGATTCTACTAAAAAGGGAAAATTTGAGTTACTTGATTTCCATTATCTTTATTTAACAGTGTGTGCCGATTACTCAAAGCGATATGGGCAGGACCTGGTAATATAGTGTTGCTCTAGTATTAACTTAAGGGGATGATCCAGTTGCCTGCAGTATAAATTACTTTGTGTCCAGGAACCCTGCTTTATCGCTTTGTATAGTTTTAAAGTAGTTAAAAGCTTGAATAACATAAAATAACATAATATAATGTTATTTATGTTATTTCCCACGTGAAGAACTCCTGTAAACCTTGCAGTATTGAAACTCAGTGAACAAGGCATCTTAGACAAGCTGAAAAACAAATGGTGGTACGATAAGGGTGAATGTGGAGCCAAGGACTCCGGAAGTAAGGTCAGTCGCCGAAGGTCTTTTTGTACTGATTAGAAATCACATTTTGACCCACTGTGTGTTTATACAAAAATGACTTTCAAAAGTTAATATTTACGTTTTGAAGGTTCAAGGAAAAAGACTAGAAAAATTAAAGATCAGAATATGACAGCATTTTTCTTTTACAGTATCAAAGACTTTAGTTGTAAGTACATTTTACTACTTGGATATTTTGCTGGGGGAAAAAAAAGGCCATGGAAAATGCCTAAACAAACCTCAGACTGGTATCTCCATTTAACCTACAAGCTTCATCACAATCAATGTATTATTTAGTCCAGCATTGCTTTTCATTTTTGAGTTATGAGTACATAAAATTTTGTTTCAAAATTGTAACTAAAATTTCTGTCCACATTGGTTGTGAGTGATAGGCCACGCATGCTTCTGAAGGATGGATATTTTCAGGAAAGACATCACATTGATGAGCATGAAACACCTTCCCACCACCACCACCACCTCCAAGAAAGTTTAAATTTTCTGTTTGAATTTTTTTCTAAGAAAACTAATATTGTGATATTATTGGTAACTCATTTCATAAATCTTGGACATTCATTTTATTGTGCATTGAACCATTTTGCTCCTGTATTACTACATTCCATACCAGAAATTTTGTAACGGTTGGAGAATCTGAATACCTGGCATACTTTAAATCAGAGGTTTTCAAATTTCGAGGCATGCCCCCCTAGGGCAGCATGGAGGAATATTTGAGGGGCCAAGTGGTGAAGCTGGGGCCAGCCCACAAGGCAAGGCTCAGGGAGGGAACACCACCCCCACCCCCAAATCACCTCAGTGGGCCACCCAGCCCGTGGGTCAGTGTTAATGCCTCCACACCCAGCGCTGGCTCTGTCCCCAGAGACCATCGCACGTGCCTTCCACCACCCTGAAAACCCGGAGGTGGGAGGAGCAGGTATTGGGAGTTGCAACCAAAAATTGTAACTCAAAGGAGTGGGGGGCTCAGCTCAAATAGTTTGAAAACCACTGCTTTAAATGTATTGTTGGTACAGTTTATGGTTTAATGTAACCAAGCTACATACTAAAATTAATCATTGAGGGCCAGACATCAGGTAACCCTGCAGCTGTTCCTCATGTAGAATTCCCAGATACTTCAGGAAGTTCCACATGTGGATTAGCGGCTGGGTCAGGCCCATGATTTGTATATTTCCTGTTTTATTTGGGGGGAAACATTCTGCTTAACCCAGGTAATGAAAATACAGAGGTTTAGTTAATGCTAGTAGAACTATTGAGGAAGAACAGTGCTGACCCAACAGTAAGCATTATTGGAAAGGATTTTCAAAGACACCAAGAGGAGATAAGCAACCCAACTCCCATCGGGAAAAAAAATCACTCCCCTTGGTGCCTTTGCAAATCTCCCCCATTATTAGGTGTTTTACTCATTTAGAGCTGTCTCCTGGTCCCACTGAAGTCAACAGCAAAAGTCATTGATTTCAGTAGGATTGGAATTTGCTCTCAAGGCCTGATCTTCCAGCTGTTGCAGAATAACTTTGGATCAATGAGAGTTTGAATGCACAATTGTAGGATGGGGCTCTACATGCTTGAAATACAACTGCAAACATAACATTTAAAACTGCAGGTAATTTATAAAACTGCCTTTATCCAAAATGCCTGTGTTTCCCCCAGGCTGTTACTAGGTAGATTGTATTTTCTCCTGATTTTTCAGAAGTTTTGGACATCCCCAGAGACTTGTCATACATCAAGGTCTACCTGCAAATATTTTAAATTAGTAAAAATATTTACTGCAGATTGCTCTGACATCTGGCTTGACAACAGCCACCTAGATTCTGTGAAAGTATGAATAAACAATATTTAATAAATGCAGAACACAATTCAATTCAGCAGCAAAATGGTTACAACTCTGCATAATCGGATTACAAAAATTCTATTTTTTTAAATGAAAGACTTCCCCGTCGTCCATGCATTGAAGGTGCATCTAGACAGCTTTTTTAAAATTAATATTAATTTTATTCAGTAAGCCAGCCTCTTTTTATAACAGCGGGTGCTAGTAGAGTTAGCTGGACCTGAAAGTAACTGACCGTCTTCCTCAAAAAAAAAATTTAAAAAAAATTTTTTTATTGTTAAATAGAAACCAGATAATTTTCTCAACATCCAAATTATTTTCTCTACATTCACCAAAAACAACTAAATCTTGTGTCTTGTTAGTTTTAAAATGGACTTCTGTAAATTCTACCTTATTTTATGCAGTCATTGATCTACCCAATGGGGAATTCCAAAAATATTTGAGATTCTTTGGGGAGAATGAGGCTAGGTGCCTTTTGTTTGCTACTAGATATACTCAGCAGCACATAGGTTTGCTGGGTGGAATCCTAGCCCTATTGATGTCAATGGCAAAAGTCTTATAGATTTCACTAGGGTCAGGATTTCACCCACTGAACAGGGTGAGATAGCACAATAACGGTCTTGAGAATCCCTAGTTTAAACCATTTCTGTGTCATTGGGATAAAGTTGAAACTAACACCGATAAATGAGCTCCAGCATGTAAAGTAACTAGTTAAGAGTATTTGGGGCCTGATATTCTGAACTGGGATTTCTGGATGTGCGGGCGCAGGGAGTCTGATGCAAATAGAGTTATATATGTCCGAGCTAAGCCAATCTGACTTTTTGCTGCAGAAAAACTAATCAAGTGGTTCATTTTTCTTAGGACAAGACAAGTGCACTGAGCCTGAGCAATGTTGCTGGGGTTTTCTATATTCTTGTTGGAGGTCTTGGTCTCGCCATGATGGTTGCTTTGATAGAATTCTGTTACAAGTCTCGTGCAGAGGCCAAACGAATGAAACTCACAAAGAATACACAAAACTTTAAACCTGCTCCTGCAACCAATACCCAGAATTATGCTACATACAGAGAAGGCTACAACGTTTATGGAACAGAAAGTGTTAAAATCTAAGGGTACGAATCAGGTCTAGTAAGCTAATAAACTGGTTTATATTTTGCTAATATGTGTTCTTCCTCCTCCCTCCCCCAAGCTTGAGTAATTTTTCAGAGTTATTATATGTATCAGAGTGAATCGGCTGCAATAATTTTCATAATATAGTCTGGAAAAGCTCTTTCACAATACACAGTAATATTTGTGATTTTATTTGTTTTCTTGATCAAAAAGAGACCAGTTTCCATTCCATATCTTTAATGGCAGTGCCAGAATTGATGCTGAAGTGAATGACTGTTGTATCTGAGGTTCTGACATTTCAATAGCACCGTGTTTCAAAAAGTTCCACCCATCCCTTTAAATATTAACTGTACATTTAGAAATCTTTTCTGCTTTGCTTGTGATGTTTTCCCCTTTATTTTTTTTAAGAAGTTGTGCTCAATTCAGCTAAGTGCTTCTAGGAAGTCTGGTAAATATTTTACATGCTCCTGATGAGAAATTTAGAAAAATATCTCAAATTCTACAATAGAAGTGGGTGATTTCTTCATGACAAAAGTACAAGTTAATTACTAAATCAATGCCTTTCCAGAAGTTATTTAAACAGAGCAATTCACATATTACACCTATAGCTAAACTAAAAAGCAAAGGAATTCTAACTTTCAAATAATCTTTGTTGCTGGAAGTGATGAGGGGGAAGGTTACGTCATTCAGTTCAGATTAGAATTATGGTAGCTGATGATAACCCGCACCTCTGAGTCTACAAAATGGGGGTCCCACTCCTGCTTCCATTGCCTTGAAAGGAACCTTTCCACTGACATCAGTGAAAGGAGCAATGGGGTCCCTGAACAAGTTCTCTTCCCAAAACTTCCCGCTTCCCATCCGGTTGGAAATGTTACAAGAACTGTTTAGCTTGTGGCATTACAGCTTCTGGCCAAAAGCAGAAAGGGACAAGGTGAGTAAAATAATGATAAGTTATTTTCAAAGAATCTAACTGGACATTAGCAAAGCCTCACTGCAATCTTTATAGTCAGGAGTAAATACTGGTAGTATGGAAGCATCCAAAGGATTGAATGGGGATTGGGGCAGTATTGTGCTAGGGGCGGTACAAACAGACGGGGGAAAAAAGAGAGAGAAAGAGACGATCCGTGCCCTGAATAGCTTTTAATCCCTCCTTTATGTAAACTGGTTCCCTCTCCCCTAGATATAATGGTCTCCTTTCAGAAGAAAACAACTGAAATATTTGTATCCTTATTACAGATCCTCGCTTTTCACAGCATGCAACAGGAGGAGCAGCTGAGAATGTGGATACTCCATGGACCCTGACCACCTGAGCCAGTTTTACTTTCTCCTTAGGTGTCAGGCATGACACACATTGATGTTGGTGCAATGAACTTTTAATAGGAAAAACTGATTTTTTTTCCTTCAGTGCCTTATTGAAGACTCTGAGACTCAACAATGCAAAACCATCACTGAAATATTCTTGCTTTGCTTGAAAATTTAAAAAAAAAAATGAACTGGTCAAAGATACTAGTATGTGAAAAAAAATCTTGTAAAAAAAAAAATCAGTTCAACAAAAGCCATTCTTTGATACCACTGCACAGTATATGAACTTATGTTCTAAATTCCGCAGGAGTCAGTTTCATCATATGCCCCCTACCTAACCAAGTTCTTAAACTATTCCTGATATAAAGCCTCAGAATTCCACTACTTATGAACAGACTGGCCTGTCACTACTTCTGAGAACTGCTGTCAAGATGCTCTGGTGGGGTTTTTTGTTTTGTTTTTTAAGCCGTGGTGTGATTTTTTTTCTAAGCACTTAAAATCCTCCACTCATTTGAGGAAATGTGTATATCAATAAAAGATTAATGTAACACCACACACAAAAGCTGCTTTAAAAAGTTAGGGTCAATGATTATTCATCTGTAAATCCAAAAGAAAGTGATTTGTAGAATTCTGTATCTTGCTTGCAGATCAGCAAATGAATTCTCTTGACAAGTTAACTATAGT